CCCCAGCAGATGTAAACCCCAGGCGGGCAGCGTAAACAGGGCGGCGCAGCTTCGCAGGTGGAGCTGGACTGGTTCTCTCGGTGGGGGGCCTTGTTAGCAGCCGTCTCATTAGCCAGCTCTTAATTGGTGCCAATTAGCGCGCCCACGCACTCTCAGGAGGCGCGGAGGAGCTGGCTTCCTGCTTTACTCCTGGTTTACGCCACCTGCGATAACCCCGGGATGGGGGGGAGCCGAGCGCCGACGTGGCCGTGGCGTGTTGGAGACGTGGCCGTCCCTCGCCGTGATGTGTCCCTGGGATGGCATCAGGGTGAGGGGGACACGTGTGGCCTTGGGACACAGGCTGTGGTCTCTGGAGAGGGACACACATGGTGAGGTGTCAGCCAGGGCCAGCAGGATTGGTGTATGTGGTTGTGGGTTGCCAGCTGTGGCCACCAGGGCTGGACATGTGTGGTCACAGGCTGCGGGCTGTGGCCACCGGATTGGCCATAAGTGGTTGTGGGTCCAGAGCTGGACACTTGCATCTTCTACTGCTGGACATATGTGACCATGGGTTGCCAGCTGTGGCCACCAAAACTGAACATGTATGGTCACAAGTTGCTGGCTGTGGCCACCAGACTGGCCATACATGGTTGTGTGTCCAGAGCTGGACACGCGTTGTCTTCCATCACTGGATATGTGTGGCCATGGGTTGCCAGTTGTGGCTTCCAGAGCTGGACGTGTGTCTTCCACACCTGGGCACATATGTCTTCCAGCACTGGGCACGTGTGGCCATGGGTTGGCAGCTGTTGCCACCAGACTGGCCCTATGTGGTTATGGGTCCAGAGCTGGACACATATGTCCTCCAGACCTGGACTTGTGTGGCTGGGGTTTGCTAGCCACAGTCACCGAGTTGTAGGTTGCAAGCTGTGACCACCAGTGCTGGACACGTGTGTCTTCCCGACCTGGACACATATCTTCCAGAGGTGGACCCATGGTGTGGCCACCAGCGCCAGACCCACGTAGCCATGAGTTCCCTGCTGCGGCCACCAGCCCCAACCCAAGGCCACGAACCCTAAAGCCAGGATGATCCCCCCGCAATGCTTCCAGTGGCCGTGGGTGCCCGTGGTGGATCCATGGGACGGTGTGAGGTGGCCGCATTACACAGGGCTTTATTCCAGGAGCTCATTCCCTGTGCATGGGGAGGGTAGTGGGATGGGAGAAGGCGGGCATGAAAACTGGAGGAGACACGGGGATGGGGGGGGGGGAGTTGGGGGGGGGGCTCTTTGGTACTGCTCAGATGTAGCTATTCCTCTTGATGGTCTCCTGGATCCAGTCGGTGAACTCGCAGACCCGGGTGTAGACACCCGGCTTGCCCTGCCGCCCGCACACCTGCATGCCCCACGACACGATGCCCTGCAGCTCCTCCTGGCACACCAGCGGCCCTCCTGAGTCACCCTGTGGGAGAGAGGCACCCCCCCCCACCCCGCAGTGAGATGGTCCCTATAGCACTCGTGAGGTCCCTAGAGTACTCAGGAGGTCCCTAGAGCACCCAGGCATTGGTATGGTGCCTGGAAGGTCCCTATAGCACTCAGGGGTCCCCATAGTGCCTGGAAGGTCCCTAGAGCACCCTGGGGTCTCTATAGCACCAAGGCCTCCCTATAGCACCCAGGGGTCCCTATAGCAACCAGATGGTTCCTATAGTTCCCTGTAGGACCCATGGGGCCTTATGGCACCCAGGAGTCTGTACAGTGCCTGAGGGTCCCCATAGCACCCAGGGGGCCTCCCTCAAGCCTCCCTCTAGTGCCTGGGAGGACCCTTTTTTGCTTAGGGGGTCCCTATAGCATCCATGGGCCTTATGGCACTCATAGGATCTGTATGGTGCCTGAGGGTCCCTATAGCACTCAGAGGTCCCTATGGTGCTTAGAGGTTCCTATAGCATGCAGGGGTCTGTACAGTGCCTAGGGGGTCCCTATAATGCCCAGGGGTCCATATGGCACCCAGGCCTCCCTGTGGCACCTAGGAGGTCCCTTTAATGCCTAGTGGTCCCTATATAACACCCAGGGTCTGCATGCTGCTTAGTGGTCCTCATAGCACTCCAGGGGTCCCTATAGCACCCAGGGGTCTGGATGATGCTTGGGGGGCTCCCCAATAGCACCCAGGAGGTCTCTATAACACCCAGGGGTGTATGTGATGCTTGGGGGGGGATCCTTATAGCACTAAAGGGGTCTCCATAGCACCCAGGGGTGTGTATGATGCTTTGGGGG